AAATCTTTTTATATATATATAGATTATTACAAATGTAACCGTAAGTTTTTATAATTAAATATATATATATATATATATATATATATTTATATCTATATCTATATCTATTAGTATAAATCCTGTGCACATGCACATGTTACTAAATATAAATAAATATTTTATATAAAAATCATAATTAAAACAAATTTTTACTTAATAGTATGTATCACATTTATAATCAAATTACATTAAAGACTCTTCGTTGGAGTTATATACTTCGAGAAAAAAAAAACAATATAAATGTACAATTTACCATATATTAATGACTATTATTATATGATATAATGAGTAACCCAATTTTTGTATAATTTGAATATTATATTATAATAATAAACATAAAAGTATTACAAAAGCACAAAATAATAAATTTAAAATAGACAACGTAAATCTTATATACCACATAAGTTGATATTAAATAAGATCTCTACAAATGAAAAGACAAAATAAATTGATATGGTTATGATTTATTTTTATAAATTTATTTCCCAAGGGAAATTAAAAAACTATATATTACTTCGCTCCAAATAATTGACTTAAAATATGTTCCTAGTTAAAATGATTAAAATAAGCATGAGTAACTTAAAATTTAAATGTTAAAATAAATGTAAAATCAGAAGAAAGAATATATATATTTACAATATTGTAATGTGTATATAAAAAATTTAATTTTACTTACCTAATTAACAAAGTGTGCAATTATATTAATTTTTATGACATGGCAGTTATAATTTTATTAAATATTATAATATTAGTTACAAAAATACAAATAAGATGATAGGTAAAACATACTAAAAATACTTTACAAAATGAGCGGGAAAAATAGATTATCCGCATTAGTTGGATATCCTACAATTATATATATATATATATATATATATTTCATCTAATAATTGTTTATGTGTAATTTGAGGCCCGAATTTTAAATGAATTTACAATTGAAAGAATAGGTATTAAATATTATATTGTAATGGTTACATCATATTTGTTATCATTACCAATATAACAATAACACATTAAATTAGTTTTTAAAACATAACCGTTACATCTTTTATTGAATATTACAATGTTTATTACAAAATTAAAGATACAAACAAAAAGTAAAAAAAAAATAAAAATAAAACTGACCATATTGAGCGAAAATTTTGGGTGGGAAAATGTAGGTTATTGCATTAATGTAATAGCCTACAATTATATATATATATATATATATATATATATATAATGGACGAATCTATTTTGCAAAAAATGGACGAAGTTTCCCGCTTAAAATTTTTCGGATAAAATTAAAAATATTGTTTGTATAACAATTTTGTGGATAATATTGTTAGCAAATATTTTAGAAATATTGTTTCTATAACAATCCCGTGGATAATTTTGTTAGCAAATATTAATTGATCCCGTGGATCTTGCTTGACTGTGAGCAATGATTTTATTAGCAACGATTTTGTTAGCAATTATTTTTTTAACTTTAGGAGGATATATTATATTTTGGACGATATATTTTGTTAGCAAAGATTTTATCTTTTAACTTACATAAACACAGCACCAAAAAAATTAGAACGATTCTAATTGCATTTTTATGCAAATATTAATATAAACATATTACCATCTTTATTTCAATTATAATTAATTTATTAATTAATATACACATATTATCATCTTTACGTGAAATGTAATTATAAAAATCCTGATTAAGATTGACACTACGGTCATAGAAAATATATTTTATACGTACTCAACAAACAAAGCTTCAAAAAAATACCTCTCCTTTTTTTGTCTATAAAAAATTGATGAACACATTGCCACAACTGGCTCTTAAACTTCGTCTAATTAGGATGTACGAAAGGATTACAACCCGTGGAGGACACGTGATTCACTTTATTGAGTGCATCTTTCATGATTCCGAAGTGCGTATATTGTAGAATATTATTAGTCTAGCTATCTAATGTGCTATTCATATTTATTGTCTAATATTATTAGTCTAGCTATCTAATGTGCTATTGATATTAAATCTTGCAATATGTAAAATTTTCTTTTTCTTTTTAATTTGATAGGTTTATGGTGTGTGGTTCACAAAAATTGTTATTTTAATCATACACACATTAGTTTCATATACACGCATATGATACAGAAGGTTTCATCATACACACTCACAATAATTTCACAAAATTGTTTTTTTTTTTATTTGGTATGTTGCATATATAATTTTAATACTTTTTATGTGTTCGTAGGGATCGGAGATTGGATTCAAGGTACCATAAAACAAAAGGATAGAGATATCAAGAAGACTCTTGTGAAAGGAAAAATTTATGCTATAAAAAATTACAACTTGGAGGAGTGGCAAGGTCAATCGTTAACACATGTCGGCCTGTTTTTAAAAAATCCTGTATTCAGTCACGGACATTTGTATGTGGCCGTGTCACGTGTAACCAATCGTAGTGGTTTAAAAATCTTAGTGTGTGGAGATCAAGTTTCTAAGATTCATACCGAAAATATTGTGTATAAGGAAATTTTTAATAATATCTAAATATAATGAGTTTGACTTACTAATTTTTTTTTTTAATTAATAGCTTCTTACAATAGGTTGTCTTTGGATTATATGTGATATTTGAACTATATGTGATATGTTATCTCCTTTTGATTTGCAAATACCTTTAAAATCCATGTGGGCATCAGTTACCACTTGTGATTTCTTATGTGATGGTGATGAGTGTTAAAAGAGTCAATGACTATTAGTAACATACACGTCGGCATATTATGTTTCAATAAATGAAAAACTCTATTTATTGCTATCTGACGCAACAATGATCTTGGTTTTTAAATATTAGTTTGTGAATACCATTGTGGCCGGTCATACCATCAATCTATGTATAATGGAATTTTTAATAATATTAAAATTAATTTCATTTTTTCAATTAATTTGCAACAAAATATAATTTTTTAATTAATTAACTTACGATAATTATTATTATTGAACCATATCCCCCTTTTTTAGTCGATAAAAAAATGGCGAACACATTGCCACAACTGGCTCTTAAACTTCGTCTAATTAGGATGTACAAAATGATTACAACCCGTGGAGGAAACGTGATTTACTTTATTGAGTGCATCTTTCATGATTATGAAGTGCGTATATTGTAGAATATTATTAGTCTAGCTATCTAATGTGCTATTCATATTTATTGTCCAATATTATTAGTCTAGCTATCTAATGTGCTATTGATATTAAATCTAGCAATATGTAAATTTTTCTTTTTCTTTTTAATTTGATAGGTTTATAATGTGTGGTTCACAAAAATTGTTATTTTAATCATACACACATTAGTTTCATATACACGCATATGATACAGAAGGTTTCATCATACACACGCACATTAATTTCACAAAATTGTTTTTCTTTTTCTTTTTTTAGTTGGTGTGTTGCATATGAAATTTAAATACTTTTTATGTGTTCGTAGGGATTGGAGATCGGATTCAAGATAGTATAAAATAAAAGGATAGAGATATCAAGAAGACTCTTGCGGAAGGAAAAAAATTATGCTATAAAAAATTACAATTTGGAAGAGTGGCAAGGTCAGTCGCTAAACATGTCGGCCTGTTTTTAAAAAATCCTGTATTCAGTCACGGACATTTGTATGTGGTCGTGTCACGTGTAACCAATCGTAGTGGTTTAAAAATCTTAGTGCGTGGAGATCAAGCTTCTAAGACTCATACCGAAAATGTATAAGGAAATTTTTAATAATATCTAAATATAATGAGTTTGACTTACTATTTTTTTTTTTAAAAAA